TTTTTATACATCTGCTGCTGAAATGTAATTTAGAGATGTGTCGCCACTGTTACACCTTAGAGAGGGAGAGAGTTATCACTTGTGTACTCCGACAAAAGATAGAGAACAGCATTTCCTCAGGTGTGTGGTGGCACTATCGCGCAAGAAGCGAGAGAGGAGAGAAGGAGGGAGAGAGACGGGAGATGAGTATAGAGTGAAAGAGAGAGAGAGATAAGCGAAGAGACGAGACGATAGAGAGATATAGGAATCTCTCGCTCTATATTCTCTCTCTCTCTCTCTCTCTCTCTCTCTCTCTCGCTCTCTCTCTCTCTCTCTCTCTCTCTCTCTCTCTCTCTCTCTCTCTCTCTCTCTCTCTCTCTCTCTCATTCACTTCCAGCAGTCAAAATGGACCTCATTCAGTGGGTGACTTCAGGTCACAGGCAGCATACAGGTAGGGACCTCTGAGGCCCCCTGACACATACTGTACTGTATGCCACACCACACAGATGGACAAACCAATACTCAGGGACTCTCACAATTTCCAATGGCCTCTATAGTATTAAAGAAAAAACTATTCAGACAATTTCACCAATTACTATGTGTTTTAAATAAAAAAGGAATAATGGTGGAAGACAATACTGATTAAATTCTGCTCCCGATGTATCCACTTAGTCCTTTATCCATTTATTGGTTAAAGTGGAACTGACAGCGTTTTAACTACTTTGCAGATATGAAACAAACAGACAATCATAAAATCTGTCCAAATATACAATTCCCAGTTTATGCTACAAAACCATAAGAGGTTTTAAAGATTGATTATATTTTACTCAACGTTCCATGACGTACAGTAAGGCATTGTCGGCAGAATAGATTGATGCGGTTCAATGCATGATTAATGTAATTCACCAATACATTTCTTAGTAGTCCCAAAAATATTGCTAGCAGTTGTAAATCACAGCTGGCCAGGTATGTTACTGGCTGCCTCCATTTAGGATGCACTGTTTCAGTTTTAATGACTTAATAATTTGGACCAAAACGGACGAATGTAACTAAGGTTGGGAATGTCAATACAATCAAACTAGCAAGGGCAATGATCACAAGTCAGTCATAATGTGGCTAATAGGCTAGCGTATCTATTTATGTAGCAAGCTAAAAACACAGAGCCTAACGTTAGCTAGATAGCTAGCTAGCTGATAGGAGGATGTCACATCATTGGAGGGGTGGGTGAGTGACTGACTTTTCCCCCTCATATCCTTTATCGGTGGCTACACAGCTAGAGATTCAGGTGTCATTTCGTTAGCTAGCAAGAAATGTGAATCGCTAGCTAGCTACACTGAACTTGGAACGACAGTTATCCAGTTAGCATATCTCTTGCATTCACAAATTCACTCTGGCTATCTACTCCGATTTCAGAGCACTCTCATCTGAGTGTGACAGAGCACAGAATAACCGATGGATTTACAAACATGCAACACCCGCTGAATATGACCAGTGTCAGTAAGCGTAGACAAAAAAAAGTAATAGTTAGTCACGAACACTTTAGATAACATGTAAACAGCCTAACTAGCTCTCCTTGGGCGAGTAAAATGGTCAGAGTGAGGTGTTCTCTCATTTGTGTCTAGAAGTAGCTAGCTAGCAAGCTAGACAACTTTAGCCAGTTAGCTTGGGTGCTTGGTTAGGACAAGCATGCATTGGCAGGCAAGCTGCAGAAGGACGAGCAGGCTACTTACTATTCCCCATCGTTTATCAGTGCAATTTTGATGGCCAACTAGCTAAAAAGGTTTGAGAGGGTTTATCTAATGTTATTTTGTTAGATTTTAGCTCATCCTGCTCTGGCTAGCATTAGTTGTTGATTTTGTTGTTGTTGATGTGCATATAGGGAAAGATAGCCTACCTTTTTATGGTTGTTGATCAATAGGACTGTAAAGTTCCCAAATGTAAGATGACTCCCGTCGTCTTTACATATTTGCAGAAATCCATTCAGGTGTGTTTTGTGGTTTTTGCCGAAAGCATTCTAATTATCTAAAGTTGAGCATTTGCAACTGCCTGTAAACACACAGTCCAGTTCAAAGTGAATGATGGCAGGCCCGTGTGGCAAATGGCTTGTCTACATAAAGGCCTACTGTAGCTTTGATTGGCTATAGCGCACCGGTCTGCGTAGACTCCGGTCCTGGACGAGACAGATGTTTTTATTATGTTTTATTTACTGCAGTGTCTATTAATTATATTAATTGTCCAAACCAAACGCACGGCTGCTATACGTAATTCCCAAATATTCTAAGAATTTATGAACGTGTGAAAATGCCCATATCTAAGCGCTCGCTTGTCAGAAAATGTAACAATTTTTTTTTTAATATTCTCCCTGGGGGTGTATATGAACAGATTTTAATAAGATTTGATGTTGCTAAAATGCTGTCAGTTCCACTTTAAATCTCATAGGAATTGAACATCACATTTCAGCCTAAAAAAGGCAACAGCATTGCATAGACAGAGCACCATTCGTCTTCATTTACACATGAAAAAATTACTCTGTGCTGAGGACAAGATTATATATATACAGTGAGGGAAAAAAGTATTTGATCCCCTGCTGATTTTGTATGTTTGCCCACTGACAAAGAAATGATCAGTCTATAATTTTAATGGTAGGTTTATTTGAACACTGAGAGACAGAATAACAACAAAGAAATCCAGAAAAATGCATGTGAAAAATGTTATAAATTGATTTGCATTTTAATGAGGGAAATAAGTATTTGACCCCCTCTCAATCAGAAAGATTTCTGGCTCCCAGGTGTCTTTTATACAGGTAACGAGCTGAGATTAGGAGCGCACTCTTAAAGGGAGTGCTCCTAATCTCAGTTTGTTACCTGTATAAAAGACACCTGTCCACAGAAGCAATCAATCAATCAGATTCCAAACTCTCCACCATGGCCAAGACCAAAGATCTCTCGTAGGATGTCAGGGACAAGATTATAGACCTACACAAGGCTGGAATGGGCTACAAGCTTGTTGAGAAGGTGACAACAGTTGGTGCGATTATTCGCAAATGGAAGAAACACAAAATAACTGTAAATCTCCCTCGGCCTGGGGCTCCATGCAAGATCTCACCTCGTGGAGTTGCAATGATCATGAGAACGGTGAGGAATCAGCCCAGAACTACACAGGACGATCTTGTCAATGATCTCAAGGCAGCTGGGACCATAGTCACCAAGAAAACAATTGGTAACACACTATGCCGTGAAGGACTGAAGTCCTGCAGCGCCCGCAAGGTCCCCCTGCTCAAGAAAGAACATATACAGGGCCGTCTGAAGTTTGCCAATGAACATCTGAATGATTCAGAGGAGAACTGGGTAAAAGTGTTGTGGTCAGATGAGACCAAAATCGAGCTCTTTGGCATCAACTCAACTCGCCGTGTTTGGAGGAGGAGGAATGCTGCCTATGACCCCAAGAACACCATCCCCACCGTCAAACATGGAGGTGGAAACATTATGCTTTGGGGGTGTTTTTCTGCTAAGGGGACAGGACAACTTCACCGCATCAAAGGGACGATGGACGGGGCCATGTACCGTCAAATCTTGGGTGAGAACCTCCTTCCCTCAGCCAGGGCATTGAAAATGGGTTGTGGATGGGTATTCCAGCATGACAATGACCCAAAACACACGGCCAAGGCAACAAAGGAGTGGCTCAAGAAGAAGCACATTAAGGTCCTGGAGTGGCCTAGCCAGTCTCCAGACCTTAATCCCATAGAAAATCTGTGGAGGGAGCTGAAGGTTCGAGTTGCCAAACGTCAGCCCTGAAACCTTAATGACTTGGAGAAGATCTGCAAAGAGGAGTGGGACAAAATCCCTCCTGAGATGTATGCAAACCTGGTGGCCAACTACAAGAAACGTCTGACCTCTGTGATTGCCAACAAGGGTTTTGCCACCAAGTACTAAGTCATGTTTTGTAGAGGGGTCAAATACTTATTTCCCTCATTAAAATGCAAATCAATTCATAACATTTTTGACATGCGTTTTTCTGGATTTTTGTGTTGTTATTCTGTCTCTCAGTGTTCAAATAAACCTACCATTAAAATTATAGACTGATCATGTCTTTGTCAGTGGGCAAACGTACAAAATCAGCAGGGGATCAAATACTTTTTTCCCTCACTGTATATATATATATATATATATATATATATATATATATATATATATAGAGAGAGAGAGAGAGAGAGAGAGAGAGAGAGAGAGAGAGAGAGAGAGAGATTTTTTTTTTTACAAATGGAAGAACTATTTTTTCCAAGGAAAGTATTGTAGCAGAGGTAACTTAATTGTTCGGTAGGTGCAAATATTAAATTCCAACTCTACATGAACTGTGTTTGCATAGCACTTACAATTTGAATAAATATCCACTCAAAAGGGAGGTCTGTATAAAATAACTTTACAATAATATATTTGATAAATATTGCATTTTCTCTGACAAATTGTACAAACTCTAAAGCTATTCTGTTGAGGAAAATATACAAAGGCTGGAAAGCGTATAACCACATACAAATAATGTCTTTCATGTTGCATTTACCCTGACAACTGGTATAAAGTGAATGCTGAAATTATTTTCTGGAGGCACCATACAAATGTTCAAAAGAGAAAGGAAATAAAACAGTAATTAAATGCATTTAAACAGTTAGAAATGTGTAATGAATAATCTGTAGAAATATACATTATTTACAGTTATAACCATACAAATTTTTTCACCATCATGTATTAATGAGGTCTGGTCATTAATTTGGTCATGTGTGTGACTTAATGGAATGCAGGTGACTGTACACCTATTAATCTGTGTATACTCTATGTGTACTAGAAAGTGTATCCTCACTAAGTTGTACACATTTAAACACTTAAACAGGTTCAGAACACACAAATGCATGCACACGCACACACACACTCACGGACACACGGACACACACACACGGACACACACACACACACACACACACACACACACACACACACACACACACACACACACACACACACAGAACCCATGTGGAGTATCACTGTGGTTGGCCCAGGGGTGTGACTACAGGCCACAGCATGTCAGGTAGTGGCCCCTGAGGCTCCCCAACTCCCCCAGCCTGACTGGCCCAGTTAAAGTCCACTCCGTTCCTCTTCAGGGCAGCCAGGTGCTTAATGTCTAGCGTGGTGAAGGTGGTGAACTGGACCTGGTTCCTCTTGCTGGTGGGGGAATGGAGTGGATTGCTGTGGGTGGGCTTGACTAGGAGGGTGGCTGAACGCTGAGCCATGGGGTCCAGGGTGGGGACCTGCTGGGAGCTGCTCCTCCTGCCCAAGGTGGCTGTCCTCTCTGGGATAGCACTGATACTCAGGCTGCTCTGCAAGGCCCGGTGGCTATCTGTGGAGCATTGTCTCTGCAGGCTGCGGTGGGACTCAATAGATCCGTGGTTCTCCCGATTGAGGGTGGAGACCTGGGGTGGGTTGCCCGGCCCTGGCCCTGTGGTGGTCCCCAACCACACCCAGTCGTGCCTGTGCTCCTTGGGGCCGTTGGGGTCTGGGTTGCCCTGGACGGCGGTCTTGTTGACCCGGAAGCAGAGATTATAGGAGGCGCAGTTGAGCAGGAATGCCAGGATGGCCAGGACAGAGACTCCCACCAGGGCGAAGATGCCAATCTCCAAGTCTGACATGGCTTTGAACGTCTTCACCAGATCACTCTCCACCACCTGGGGCGGCTTGGGCTGCTTTTTCTGGGGTGGTGCCTCTGCTTTGGGCATCTCTTTCTTCTGGTTGGGGTTTTCCACCAGGTTCCCCCAGTCTCTCCTCAGCCCCTGTCCTCTGCTGAGGCTTCTATCCCTGCCAGGTATGCTAGTCACCTGAGGTTTGTCCGTGCCAGGTTTGCCCATGGTGGTGGTATTACTATCAGTGTTGGTGGTGGTGCTGCTGATGCCCTTCTCTGATGGTAGAGATGCCACCTCCAGCCACTTCCTGAGCCCTGGCTGTTGATGTGGTGACATCAGTTATAGTGCTGTCCTGGCGGTCTGGCACGGTGCTCCTGAACGAGCGTCTGTCTCCGTCCCCCTCAGTCAGAGCCCGTGGTGAGGTCACAACTGCCGTGAGTTCCAGTGTTGATGTCATGACTGGTTTAGGCTCTACCTCTGACTCTGAACCATCACTGCCATAGCCAGCAGCACCACCACCAGTGCCCCCTCCGTCCGTCCTGCTGCCTTTCTGGAAAGTGACCCTAAGAAGCCCGTTGCCCACCACCAGCTTGCTCTTCCTCTTAGACTTCTGGCACTCCTCACAGATCCTCAGCTCAGCCTTCACCAGCGCCCCCTGACCCTCGCCCTCCGCCACCACAAACGCTGACTGGGGGGTCCGGCGCACGGTCGCCACGCTCTTGTCCCCCGAGGTCACAGTCAGGGAGTAGACGCTGCGGTCGAAGAGGTCCAGAGGGGTCACTGAACCGTCACTGAACTGGACCCAGCAGCTGACCAGTGCCTCCTAAACATAGAAATAACACAGAGACAGGATCAGGAGAGGGCTTGGAATTCTCTAAAGTAGGTCAAAATACAACCAGGAAATCAATATTCTCCCCATGTGCAGAGTGTTAGACATACAGAACATCAATTAATTTCCAAATATTCCATAAATAGTTGTGTTAATGCATAAGAGTAGGTAGTAAAGCAGGAGCTGATATGATTTTGCATCTTTCCACAGGATTCTCAAGCTACCCAATGATTCACAATTCCACAGTTATTTCAATTCCTGCCTTAGCGTTTTGCACGTTGGGTTGACATGATAGCTAATCCCTCATTTTGTCAGTATCTAAGAATTGCCTCTGTTAATCTCATTATAATTAGCTCGGAGGCTATTGTATCACAGACCACAGTCCTATCACATCATGGCGTGAAACTCAATTTAACCACAGGGGATCAATATCACTATAGATGGAGAATAAACACCATTAGCACTAGCCACCAGATGGCGCAATGTAAATTAATTACTCCCACCACAGTCAGTCCAATAGAACCAGAGTGCTGTTAGCTGATAATGAACGATTGGAGCCAGAGGCCTGGCCTATATTCTGAGGCTAAATACATTATGCATAGCCCGGAATTGTACTTTACATAGCCCATCATAGAAACAATGGGCATGTGCGCTAACTCCGTTCAAATAGGTTGAGTATTGACTGGGTCAAGCTAGCGATTGGCCAGGCCCCAGGCAGCACAGGGCTGTCATAGTGCTGGTTATGGAGTATGGACTACTGACTAATGGTTTCCCCACTCACAGTTTGGGAAGTGTTTTTGAATGGGCATGCTGCCACGGCTAATGTGTGAGCTGTTAAACTGCGTCCATGCACTCTGTCTGGCTCACAGTGTGGCCACTGTACTACAGTCCTGAGCTGTGGACACCATCAACTCACACACACAGGAATCACAGGGACAAACCACATGCTGCTAGGCTACCAGGTTACTGTTATTTACTGTGAAATGTATTTTTTTCTTGCTGAATATCTGTGAAGGGCTTTGAGGGTACAGGTTTTCCACTATTGCTAATAGTTTCCCCCCCAGCTTCTGAATGGCACAATGTGTAGTTGGGGCTTGTTCTTTGGAAGTACTTTATTTTGAATAATAGGTTTGAATCAGGTATGATTTGAGATAATTTGTCTAGTTACCTGTTTGGGTCTCTGCATGACTTCCTGTGTGGTAGTCGTGGCGATGATGGCCCTGTTGCTCCCTGGGCTGAGCTGGAGGGACAGAGAGAGGCCAGAGACCAGCTGCACTCCCAGCTCTGTCACACTCACTTTGTCTTCCAGAACCCTGACCATCCGCTCAGCCAGGATCAAGTCAGACAGAGGAGACATCACCTGCAACATCATTCACACACATTAGCATACACACAAACAAACACACACACGCATGTACACACGCAAACACACACACATTACCTGTAGAGTGGTGGTCCCTGCAGCGCGTCCCTGCAGTACAGTCCCAGCCTGTAGTCTGGCTATAGATTGGTCTCCCACCCTGAGAGAGTAGCGCACCAGCCTGGTGACATCCACCTGCCAGTCTGGCCCCAGGAAACTCTCCAGAGACCCCTCCACTCCCCCTACCATGGGGTCTGAAGCTGGGTCCGACGGCTCGGCCACAAAGGGTGTGAGCACCCTGACCACAGTGTGTTGGTATTGTAGCATGCATCCCCTGCCCCTCCTCATCTCCTCCTCTTCCTCACTGTCCCAGCTGGTCCTGAGACAGAGAGAGATAGCGAGAGAGCAAGAGAGCGAGAGCGAGAGCGAGAGCGAGAGCGAGAGCGAGAGCGAGAGAGAGAGAGAGAGAGAGAGAGAGGGAAAGGGAGAGAAAGAGAGAGAGAGAGAGTGAGAGAAAGTGAGAGAGTGAGTGAGTGAGTGAGTGGGAGAGAGAGAGAGAGATAGAGAGAGTGAGAGACAGTGAGAGAGAGGGGGGGGGGGGGGGGGGGGGGGGTGTAAGGCTATGACCACAGAGTAATGTAAAACTAAACTTTATTGTATACTCTTAAGAGAAAACTGTCAGATGGAAGAAGTTCAAGAAAAATCTGAGGGTTGAATGGTTTGGGTAGCTAGCTCTGACACCAACCATAACCATGTAAACACACAGTGTAGCTCCAGAGAAAACAACAACACCCTACACAATCTATCCATCCACCTCAGTGTATTGTGTGAGAACCAGGCAGCGGTAAGACACTCAGTATTTAGTGAGACCCTACTGACCTGTTTTCTGAGAGAAAGTCTATGTCCCTTCTACGGGGAATAACACACTAATGTAACTAAAAGTGATGTGATGATAGATTATTATTATAGAGTATAGTAATATGCATTAGTCAAGGCTGATAAGCTGGAGGATTTCCATTCCCTACCCTCTCTCTCATAGTACTTACTATACTGTGTGTATTTATGGATTAATCTATCTGTCTGAACAGTACAGCTCTAGTCTATGAGGCTGGTAAACAAACAGTATTTTCTGGTTTTAAGGCTTTAGGACTATGTGAAATCCTTATCACTATGCAGTGGGTCACTACTTGTGGCTCTTGTGATTATTTGTTATTACGTTTTGTGCAAACAAACTGTTGATTAAATCCTTCTTTGAATCCTTCATGAATGCCTTGCTCCAGCCTTGCTGCAGCAGGTCTTGGCATCAGCTCTCTCATTCTGTACTGTGCATTTCTAAATAGTACTGACAAAGGCTTAAGCTCTGCCAACATCGGTATGTGGAGAGCTGGTATTGTAAGCAAAACCATACCTCCTGTTGCCGGCGGCCACGGGGACCCTCCAGCCCTTGATCTGGCTGAGTTCGGGGTCGGCCACGTCGATAAGCAGTGGAAGGCGAGGCATCCACACACTCATCTCCAGTTGGGCACTCAGGTAGCTATAGGTGAAGTTGAGCACCATCCTCATCCTCCCCCTCGTCTCCTTCCCATTAACAAACACATAGTCACAACGATCTGACACCTGGGGGGACACAGGGGGAGGCTGAGTTATTAAAGAACACAACCTGAGTTGAGGAGGAGGAGTTATGTGACTTGGTTAGCAAGCTGAAATCTACTTGCCCATAATGTACTAGCCCATTACTTTCTATAAAATTTCAGGTCCCTGTGCCCATAGTCACATAGGCTTAGGCTAGATTCAATCCGGGCCACCGAGGATCCGCATTATAGTGCGATTAAAATGTTTCCGCTGCATATGTCGGTTCAATCGGAAATTACTGTAAAATTTTTAATTGCGTTACAGTGGCTTGCGAAAGTATTCACCCCCCTTGGCATTTTTCCTATTTTGTTGCCTTACAACCTGAAATTAAAATGGATTTTTTGGGGGTTTGTATCATTTGATTTACACAACATGCCTACCACTTTGAAGATGCAAAATACAAAAATGTGTGAAACAAACTAAGACAAAAAAACAGAAAACATGAGTGTGCTTAACTATTCACCCCCCCCCCCCCCCCCCCCCAAAGTCAATACTTTGTAGAGCCACCTTTTGCAGCAATTAAAGCTGCAAGTCTCTTGGGGTATGTCTCTATAAGCTTGGCACATCTAGCCACTGGGATTTTTGCCCATTCTTCAAGGCAAAACTGCTCTAGCTCCTTCAAGTTGGATGGGTTCCGCTGGTGTACAGCAATCTTGTCACGCCCTGGCTCTGGGGACTCTTAAATGTTGAGCCAGGGTGTGTAGTTCTATGTTGTGTTTTCTATGTTTAGTTTCTAGATCGTTTAGATCTATGTTGGCCAGGGTGGTTCCCAATCAGAGGCAGCTGTAGCTCGTTGTCTCTGATTGGGGACCATACTTAGGTAGCCTGTGGGCACTAGTGGGTTGTGGGATCTTGTTCCGTAAAGGTATGTTGTTTGTATGCTACCTTGGACTTCACGTTTCGTTTGTTGTTTTGTCGTGTGTTTAGTCGTTAATAAATATGAATGCATATCACGCTGCGCCTTGGTCCTTCTCGTTCATGAACGATCGTGACAGAAGATCCCACCAGACCTGGACCAAGCAGTGTGCCGAGGTGGAGCAGAGAGGATGGACTTGGGAGGAGATGAGCGAGAGGCTGGCAAGAAGGAGGGAGGCCCTGATCACGGTGGAGAGACAATCCCCAAAACATTTTTTGGGGGGGCACACGGTGTGGACGACGAGGCAGCAGGAGGCCGTGACAGGGCGGTTCCGCTGGTTAGCAGAGGAGGCCACCAGATTAGGGGGGCCATTGGTTTAGAGGGAGCAGAAGGAAAGTGTAGAGGCACGGCGAGAGGAGCTGGTTAGGCAGCAGAAGGAGCGGGGGTTAATGAAGGAACCCAGTCCCGCTCCTCGCACCAATCAAGTGGTGCGTGTCGCCAGTCCGGTTCGGCCCGTTCCTGCTTCCCGCACTAAGCCAGTGGTGTGTGTTCCCAGTACGGTTCGGCCCGTTCCTGCTCCTCGCATCAAGCCAGTGGTGCGCGTCGCCAGCCCGGCCCGGCCTGTTCCTGCCCCTCGCACCAAGCCAGTGGTGCGCGTCGCCAGCCCGGTCCGACCTGTTCCTGTCCCTCGCACCAAGTCAGTGGTGTGCGTTGCCAGCCCGGCCCGGCCTGTTCCTGCCCCTCGCACCAAGCCAGTGGTGCGCGTCGCCAGCCCGGTCCGACCTGTGCCTGTCCCTCGCACCAAGCCAGTGGTGCGCGTCGCCAGCCCGGCCCGGCCTGTTCCTGCTCCCCACACCAGGCCAGTGGTGCGCGTCGCCAGTCTGGTACGGCCCGTTCCTGCTCCCCGCACCAAGCCAGGGGTAAGCGTCATCAGCCAGGTTCGGCCCGTTCCTACTCCCCGCACCAAGCCAGTGGTGCGTGTCCAGTCCGGCACGGCCCGTGCCTGTTCCACCGGTGCCTGGTCCGGCACCGGTCAGCTGCTCCACTCCGGAGCCAGAGCAATCCGCTCCACCGGGGTCCAGTCCAGCTCCGGTCAGCGGCTCCACTCCGGAGCCAGAGCAGTCCGCTCCACCGGTGCCTGGTCCAGCTCCGGTCAGCGGCTCCACTCCGGAGCCAGAGCAGTTCGATCCACCGTCGTCGGGTCCAGCTCCAGTCAGCGGTTCCAGTCCAGACCAGGGGTGCAACAGGGAGGCGGATAATAGGTGGTGGTCACGCCCGGAGCCGGATCCGCCTCCGAGGCGGAATGCCCACCCGGCCCCTACCCTGTTATGTTTAGGTTGCGCGGTCGGAGTACGCACCTTTGGGGGGGGGGGGGGGGGGTACTGTCACGCCCTGGCTCTGGGGACTCTTAAATGTTGAGCCAGAGTGTGTAGTTCTATGTTGTCTTTTCTATGTTTAGTTTCTAGATCGTTTAGATCTATGTTGGCCAGGGTGGTTCCCAATCAGAGGCAGCTGTAGCTCGTTGTCTCTGATTGGGGACCATACTTAGGTAGCCTGTGGGCACTAGTGGGTTGTGGGATCTTGTTCCATAAAGGTATGTTATTTGTATGCTACCTTGGACTTCACGTTTCGTTTGTTGTTTTGTCGTGTGTTTAGTCGTTAATAAATATGAATGCATATCACGCTGCGCCTTGGTCCTTCTCGTTCATGAACGATCGTGACAAATCTTTAAGTCATACCACACATTCTCAATTGGATTGATGTCTGGGCTTTGACTAGGCCATTCCAAGACATTTAAATGTTTCCCCTTAAACCACTTGAGTGTTGCTTTAGCAGTATGCTTAGGGTCATTGTCCTACTGGAAGGTGAACCTCCGTCCCAGTCTCAAATCTTTGGAAGACTGAAACAGGTTTCCCTCAAGAATTTCCCTGTATTTAGCGCCATCCATCATTCCTTCAATTCTGACCAGTTTCCCAGTCCCTGCCGATGAAAAACATCCCCACATCATGATGCTGCCACCACCATGCTTCACTGTGGGGATGGTGTTCTCGGGGTGGTGAGAGGTGTTGGGTTTGCGCCAGACATAGCGTTCCTTGATGGCCAAAAAGCTTCTTCCATATGTTTGGGGAGTCTCCCACATACATTTTGGCGAACACCAAACGTATTTGCTTATTCTTTTCTTTAAGCAATGGCTTTTTTCTGGCCACTCTTCCGTAAAGCCCAGCTCTGTGGAGGGTACGGCTTAAAGTGGTCCTATGGACAGATACTCCAATCACCGCTGTAGAGCTTTACAGCTCCTTTAGGGTTATCTTTGGTCTCTTTGTTGCCTCTCTAATTAATTCCCTCCTTGCCTGGTCCGTGAGTTTTGGTGGGCGGCCCTCTCTTGGCAGGTTTGTTGTGGTTCCATATTCTTTCCATTTTTGAATAATGGATTTAATAGTGCTCTGTGGGATGTTCAAAGTTTCAGATTTTTTTTTATAACCCAACCCTGATCTGTACTTTCCCACAACTTTGTCCCTGACCTGTTTGGAGAGCTCCTTGGTCTTCATGGTGTCGCTTGCTTGGTGGTGCCCCTTGCTTAGTGGTTTTGCAGACTCTGGGGCCTTTCAGAACTGGTGTGTATATATACTGAGATCATGTGATAGATCATGTGACACTTAGATTGCACATAGGTGGACTTTATTTAACTAATTATGTGACTTCTGAAGGTAATTGGTTGCACCAGATCTTATTTAGGGGCTTCATACCTAAGGGAGTGAATACATATGCAAGCACCACTTTTTATGTTTTAGATTTATGTTTTAGAATTTATTGAAACAAGTAATGTTTTTCATTTCACTTCACCAATTTGGACTATTTTGTGTATGTCCATTACATGAAATCCAAATAAAAATCTATTTAAATTACAGGTTGTAATGCAAGAAAATAGGAAAAACGCCAAGTGGGATGAATACTTTTGCAAGGCACTGTATAACGCAGATCTTATTCCGTCCGGATTTAATCTATCCCTTAGCCATCTAAGATGTATCCATCTAGGTGCTGAGAGAGAGAGAAGAGAGAAAGAGCATGCTGTGGAACCATCATATTGTGTCCGTGTGTATGTGTATGTGTATACAAATGTATCCATGCTCGGGAGTCTGGAGGATCCTTTACCCTGACCCAGTGAGGCCCTTTGCTCTAAGAGGGGTCACTGACTGGGAAGAGAGAGTGATATAATAACTGGAAACAGTTCTACAGTCTTCATAAGTCATAATAAACATACAGAAATACAAACCCACCCTTACCTTGAAAAGACCAGCTCAGGTGAGTAACCTCTTAATGGAAAACGCTAGGCAATAATATCCTTTCCTCACTTGCTCTCCTGCTCTTTATCTAGCTTTTTCTCAATTTGCTCGGTGAATGTCCTCTGTCTCTGTCTGTCTCTCCCCCTCACTGTCTCTTTTCATCTCTCCGTCTCTCTCTCTCTTAATGGAGTAAAGTCCCTATGCCCTTGGCTCCACGAGATCCTCTTTTATACAACATCTGCTCTAATAACATGCATTTCTCATGCAAGTATGATTTTTAGTATGGTTTTAGTATGGTCTCTGAATGATTCTGAATGTGATAGTCATAAGTCTTGTTCTCTTGCAACATACAGATATATATAGGATCTTAATTTGAGCCAGTTTGCTACAGCAGGAAAATAATTCTGCAGCAACAGGAAATGTTACTTATGATGTGGATTATAATTAATGGACATTTTTGTAGGGGTTGATGCAGAGTCTGAAATGTCAAAGTGGAAATTGTAAACTTCAGCAGCCTTTTAAACCTCTAATACACTACACATTTTAAGTTATCATGCAACTAGGTGATCAAATTAAGCTCCTACATCTGTAGAAAAACAGTGAACATTGAAACAGGGCTTCCAAAGCTGTACCTTCAGCACATTCTCGTCAGTTGACCTGCAGTTGGTGTAGTTGGTGACATCGGTGACAGAGCCGTCAGCCTCCACAGCCAGAGTCCTGACTGGGACAGACACTTTCTTACCAGTCAGAACAGCTGTGTTCAGCACGTCACTGTCCTACAGGGGAAAGACAAGACCGAGTGACCGTGTAAGGCAGGCATATAACAACACACACACATTTACACAAAGATTGGCATGCACATGTACACACACTCGCATGAACACACACAGAAACACACAATCACACAATCACATGCACACGCACTCATGCGCTTCCTTGTACAGTTAAGTCTGTGCATGTGTTTAACTGCTTACATCCTTAACATAAATAGACAAATCAAGGTTGGTCTACGGCTGATAAGATCTCTCTTATAGCTCTATAACCCCTCTTTGAACATGGGTTTAAAAGGGTTTTCTGGCCATGATACTCTCTAATAATGTATTTTCTAATCTAGGAGGCATGGGGGTTGATACAGTGGCTGATGACCGTATGGCCTAGCTGATGTAGATTTAACTGCAGCTCTCGACAGATGTTGCAGGCCAGCCTGTAAGTCATTCTAACTCAGCAGCACAGCACAACAGCTGCTGACCGAGATTCAGAAATTCTCTAGTTCTGCCTCTGAAAGTCACCCAAACTGACTACCAGTACAATAAAGTTGTATTATATTGTATTGTATTGTATTGTACAGACCTACTGTACTGAAGCAATCCCTATGGGATTTTTAATACCAACACCGCTGTGAAAAAGGGCTTAATTCCTGTCACAAGTACACAGGTGGTATTACCACCTTCTGACAAACCAGATCTATACTTAGTACTTGTACTTTTGGAAAAATCGTATAAAGCATAGTGGCTTTGATATGAAGATGTTTCATTCTTCCCTATGGGGGCCGTTTGATCCTCAATGAACATCAACTTCATTAACACTGAGGGAGAGTGTGACCTGGGCCAGAACAGCCCTGATGTTATCAAAGCTAGAGGCCAATGGAGCTGGCACTCAGCTGTACAACAATTAACACATCAACACCCGCCTGACATCCCCCTCTCCAGAGCTCTCCCAATCATTTACACAAGCGCTTTATTGTTCCTTTATAGCCCACACCTCCGCCATAAAACACTGCTGTGCCATACAAACCCAGGTGCATTTGCACACAGGTGCATGCACGCATACAAATAAAATGCCACACGTGCACACACATAAAAGGCACGCACACACACTCCTCACCATGACCAGTGGTGTCAGGCCCACGTAATCTCTCTGGGTGGTATAGATCCTCATGACGCCAACATCCTTGATGTTTCCTGTTTCAAAACGCCATGTGATCATCTGGCTCTCTAATTGTTGCTCAGTCAACTCCTTGGTCTCAAAGTCAAGCTGCAAGACCTCCAACAGACCCCTGTCAATCCAGAAATACAGTTACAGTTCTTGACATAATATGGACTTGGTCTTTTACCAAATAGGGTTATCTTCTGTATACCATCCCTACCTGATTGGCTCAAATGCATTAAGAAGGAAATAAATTCCACAAATTAACTTTTAAGAAGGCACTCCTGTTAATTGAAATGCATTCCAGGTGACTACCTCATGAAGCTGGTTGAGAGAATGCCAAGAGTGTGCAAAGCTGTCATCAAGGCAAAGGGTGGCTATTTGAAGAATCTCAAATATAACATATATTTTGATTTGTTTAACACTTTTTTGGTTACTACATGATTCCATATGTGTTTTTCATAGTTTTGATGTCTTCACTATTATTCTACAATGTAAAACAATTTAAAAATAAAGAAAAACCCTTGAATGAGTAGGTGTGTCCAAACTTTTGACTGGTAGTGTCAAAATGTATGCACTCACTAACTGTAAGTCGCTCTGGATAAGAGCGTCTGCTAAATGACTTAAATGTTAAATGTAAATGTAGTGTACTTATTCATCAATAAAAGTGATTGGACAGGATTCCATTGGGAACATTTTCACCATGATTCCACTCAATTACTACACCACAGGAATGGAGGAGAAAGAGGTGGTAATTCCCCCTATTTTTCCTGGAAACCCTCTCTGGGGGCTTTGGGGGTCGTAGCTTGTAAAGCTGTGGTCTTATCATCAGTTTCAGAGTGCTGGGGAGGGGGTGGGTGGGGGGTTAACTTCTGTCCACCCCTCTGGGTTTTCACTGGTCTGTTCACTGGTTAATACCGCTGCAAGACTTGGAATATCTGGGCTCCCAATCTTGCCCGGAATGTGCCTGCCAGCGGTTAAGCCCGGATAACGCACTGAGGATTACTGATGATTACATATAAGTGGGTCGGACAGGCAGCGCGCTGAGCCGGGTTGGAGTGTGTGTGTGTGTGTGTGTTTGTGTTTGTCTGAGGGGGATGGCATGTGCGGGGAGGATGCTGGGCAGTCCACGGCGGTGGAGTTGCCGTACCAGGCTGTAATGCAGTCCGACAGTATGCTCTCGATGGTGCTCCTGTAGAACACTGTGAGGGACCTTGGGGACAGGCCAAATTTCTTCAGCATCCTAAGGTTGAAGAGTCGCTGTTGTGCCTTCTTCACTACGGTGTCCGTGTGTTTTGACAATTTCAGCTCCTCAGAGATGTGTACGCCGAGGAACTTGAAGAATTTGACCGTCTCCACTGTTGATGAGGATGGGGGCGTGCTCCTTTGTTTTGCTGACATTGAGGGAGAGGTTGTTTACCTGGCACCACCCCGTCAGTGACATCATGGAGAAATATTCTAAACTGTTCATATCAACACAGTTGATCCCTCCCCCACTGCGATATACAGGAGGATTACTAATGTTATTACAGATATCATGATAATCTCAAAGAGCAGTACAAACAACTGATTGAAATTGTCAACTACTGTATGTTATTACTTGTAGTTATAGGGCAGGTTTCCCGGACACAGATTAGTGCTACAGTCTATTTCAATGGAGATTCTCTATTGAGGAATGCTTTTTTAGTCCAGGACTGGACTTGATCTCTGTCCCGGAAACTGGCCCATATTGCGTAAGATAATAACTAGGGCCCAGAGTTTTTCCTGATCACATGACCTGACCAGGAAAAACATACGTATAACATATCTTATAGAAACCAGGGGAATTAGTGCCTTAAGCAAATATCAGTGCAACTGTGCCACATCTATGCATTAAAAAAGTACTTTGGACAAATATTTGAATAGTCCCTTCAGTCTATTTACAAGGACAGTGAATAAATACAATGCAACACAGATCTGCTCCACACAATAACCAGCTGTATGCACAGCTGCCGGGACCACACCAACAAGGCAACTGATTAAAGTAATTCGCTTTTTTCTCTCGATCAAGTTCTAGATTTGCAATCTGTTCTTCTTCCTGACATTTTAACGAGGAGAATTCTGAGAATCTGTAAAGCTATAACAACCTGTTTGTTTCTTCTACCTTTCTCTTTGGACAAATGCTGTACATCAATAATCTCACACTTCTCATATCAGTAAGAACATGACAAAGGAAGGCCATTGTTAAGATTTAAGAGAGCCTACAAAAGTGAAGATGTTTGAGGAAAATTAAGGGCTACTAAAAACACACCTTTTCCCGGTGATGGCGGTCTTCCTCTGACACACGACGGCGATGGTGTTTGCACCCCCTCTGCCAGGCTCCAGGGCGATGTCCCATAAGGCTGAGTCACTGGGCCTCGCTGTACTGAACGACATGCCCTTCCTCACTGTGGCTCTGGAACACACAGACATACACACAGGTCAGTTAACACACACATACACATATACACACAGGTCAGTTAACACACACATACACACAAAGGTCAGTTAACATACACATACACACACAGGTCAGTAAACACACACATACACACACAGGTCAGTTAACACACACATACACACACAGGTCAGTTGACATACACACATGAAAACACAGGCTACTTAAGGGGAAACACTTGAGGTGATCTCAGCAGCGTAATCTGCTTGAGTATTATTGAACCATGATTGACTGCTGCAGGGGAGGTGGAGCTATCTAAGGATCACCTGAGAGCCTCATATAATGATAGTGGCCTGACATAATCAGCACAAGGCTCAGTATCTAAAGCTGCCTTCAGGCAAATTCTCACATGACACACATTCACATCAAAACATGCAGTGGTTGGTCAAAGATCAATCTAGAGGAAGATCAACATGTTGATACTACCAGTAGGATTATACACTCAGAAAAAAAAGTGCTATCTAATAATAATAATATGCCATTTAGCAGACGCTTTTATCCAAAGCGACTCACAGTCATGTGTGCATACATTTTTATGTATGGGTGGTCTCGGGGATCGAACCCACTACCCTGGTGTTACAAGCGCCATACTCTACCAATTGAGCTACAGAGGAGCTCTAGAACCTTAAAGGGTTCTTTGGCTGTCCCCAACCCTTAGAAGAACACTTTTTTGTTTCCTGGTAGAACCCTTTTGGTTCCAGATAGAATCCTTTTTGGTTCCATGTAGAACCCTTTCCACAAAGGGTTCTACATGGAAGGCCAAAATGGTTCTACCTGGAACCCAAAATGGTTCTACTTGGAACCAAAAAATGGTTCTCTTATGGGGACAGCCAAAGAACACTTTTGGAACCCTTTTTTCTAATAGTGTATGTATACCTGCGTGTGTGCATTTCTAGGTGGTTGGTCTCAGTGTGTGTGTGTGCGTGTGTGTGTGTGTGTGTTATCTGTACTCTCTGGTCTGTGTGTCTAACGAGGTGTGGTGACAGACAGTAGAGAAGTGATGTTTACCTACCTGCCTACAGACAGAAAATCAGCAGGCACATCTTATTCCCATCAGCGCTAAGTTAGCTGTTGCTGGGAACCCACTGATCATTTAATCTACTGCTGCTGCCTGATTCATCTCCTCTATCTCTCCAGTCAAGAGCAGAGCGGGAGACCTCATTACAGGTCTATTGGGGTGGGAGGACCAGGCAGGACGGCAGCACCAAGCCCTCATACAGACTCTATCTCAGGACAGGGTGACCCAGAGTGGGTAAAGAATGCTCTCTGGCATAGCCTGACCATGTAGACCTTGTCATCTGACTTATTCTTGGAATTTTATTTATTTATTTATTTATTTTTTTTTTTTTTTTTTTTGTCATTTAGCAGACGCTCTTATCCAGAGCGACTTACAGGAGCAATTAGGGTTAAGTGCCTTGCTCAAGGGCACATCGACAGATTTTTCACCTAGTCAGCTCGGGGATTAGAACCAGCGACCTTTCGGTTACTGGCACAACGCTCTTACCCACTAAGCATATATGCCATTTAGCAGACACTTATATCCTAAGCAACTTACAGTCATGCATGAATACATTTTAAATAAAGTGAGGGAAAAAAGTATTTGATCCCCTGCTGATTTTGTATGTTTGCCCACTGACAAAGACATGATCAGTCTATAATTTTAATGGTAGGTTTATTTGAACAGTGAGAGACAGAATAACAACAAAAAAATCCAGAAAAACGCATGTCAAAAATGTAATGAATTAATTTGCATTTTAATGAGGGAAATAAGTATTTGACCCCTCTGCAAAACATGACTTAGTACTTGGTGGCAAAACCCTTGTTGGCAATCACAGAGGTCAGACGTTTCTTGTAGTTGGCCACCAGGTTTGCACACATCTCAGGAGGGATTTTGTCCCACTCCTCTTTGCAGATCTTCTCCAAGTCATTAAGGTTTTGAGGCTGACGTTTGGCAACTCGAACCTTCAGCTCCCTCCACAAATTTTCTATGGGATTAAGGTCTGGAGACTGGCTAGGCCACTTCAGGACCTTAATGTGCTTCTTCTTGAGCCACTCCTTTGTTGCCTTGGCCGTGTGTTTTGGGTCATTGTCATGCTGGAATACCCAGTCCACAACCCATTTTCAATGCCCTGGCTGAGGGAAGGAGGTTCTCACCCAAGATTTGACGCTACATGACCCCGTCCATCGTCCCTTTGATGTGGTGAAGTTGTCCTGTCCCCTTAGCAGAAAAACACCCCCAAAGCATAATGTTTCCACCTCCATGTTTGACGGTGGGGATGGTGTTCTTGGGGTCATAGGCAGCATTCCTCCTCCTCCAAACACGGCGAGTTGAGTTGATGCCAAAGAGCTTGATTTTGGTCTCATCTGACCACAACACTTTCACCCAGTTCTCCTCTGAATCATTCAGATGTTCATTGGCAAACTTCAGACGGGCCTGTATATGTGCTTTCTTGAGCAGGGGGACCTTGCGGGCGCTGCAGGATTTCAGCCCTTCACGGCGTAGTGTGTTACCAATTGTTTTCTTGGTGACTATGGTCCCAGCTGCCTTGAGATCATTGACAAGATCCTCCCATGTAGTTCTGGGCTGATTCCTCACCGTTCTCATGATCATTGCAACTCCACGAGGTGAGATCTTGCATGGAGCCCCAGGCCGAGGGAGATTGACAGGTATTTTGTGTTCCTTTCATTTACGAATAATCGCACCAACTGTTGTCACCTTCTCACCAAGCTGCTTGGCGATGGTCTTGTAGCCCATTCCAGCCTTGTTTAGGTCTACAATCTTGTCCCTGACATCCTTGGAGAGCTCTTTGGTCTTGGCCATGGTAGAGACTTTGGAATCTGATTGATTGATTGCTTCTGTGGACAGGTGTCTTTTATACAGGTAACAAGCTGAAATTAGGAGCACTCCCTTTAAGAGTGTGATCCTAATCTCAGCTCGTTACCTGTATAAAAGACAACTGGGAGCCAGAAATCTTTCTGATTGAGAGGGGGTCAAATACTGATTTCCCTCATTAAAATGCAAATTAATTTATAACATTTTTGACATGCGTTTTTCTGGATTTTTTTGTTGTTATTCTGTCTCTCACTGTTCAAATAAACCTACCATTAAAATGATAGACTGATCATTTCTTTGTCAGTGGGCAAACGTACAAAATCAGCAGGGGATCAAATACTTTCTTTCCTCACTGTACATTGTCCTGGGAATCGAACCCACTGTCCTGGCGTTGCAAGCGCCATGCTCTAGTAACTGGGCTACAGCATGTATGTGTATTTGGTGTGGGTACAAGCAGTCAGAGTATTCCTTAAGCTTGTGTTTACGTGTGAGCTACAGTTGAAGTCGGAAGTTTACATACACTTAGGTTGGAGTCATTAAAACTAGTTTTTCAACCACTCCACAAATTTCTTGTTAACAAACTATAGTTTTGGCAAGTCGGTTAGAACATCTACCTTGTGCATGACACAATGAATTTATAATTCACTGTATCACAATTCCAGTGGGTCAGAAGTTTACATACACTAAGTTGACTGTGCCTTTAAACAGCTTGGAAAATTTCAGAAAATGATGTCATGGCTTTAGAAACTTCTGATAGGCTAATTGACATAATTTGAGTCAATTGGAGGTGTAGCTGTGGATGTATTTCAAGGCCTACCTTCAAACTCAGTGCCTCTTTGCTTGACATCATGGGAAAATCAAAAGAAATCAGCCAAGACCTCAGAAATAAAATTGTAGACCTCCACAAGTCTGGTTCATCCTTGGGAGCAATTTCCAAACGCCTGAAGGTACCACGTTCATCTGTACAAACAATAATACACAAGTATAAACACCATGGGACCACGCAGCCGTCATACCGCTCTGGAAGGAGACGCGTTCTGTCTCCTAGAGATGAACGTACTTTGGTGCGAAAAGTGCAAATCAATCACAGAACAACAGCAAAGGACCTTGTGAAGATGCTGGAGGAAACAGGTACAAAAGTATCTATATCCACAGTAAAACGAGTCCTATATCGACATAACTTAAAAGGCCGCTCAGCAAGGAAGAAGCCACTGCTCCAAAACCGCCATTAAAAAGCCAGACTACGGTTTGCAACTGCACATGGGGACAAAGATCGTACTTTTTGGAGAAATGTTCTCTGGTCTGATGAAACAAAAATAGAACTGTTTGGCCATAATGACCATCGTTATGTTTGGAGGAAAAAGGGGTCCCTTGCAAGCGGAAGAACACCATCCCAACCGTGAAGCACGGGGGTGGCAGCATCATGCTGTGGGGGTGCTTTGCTGCAGAAGGGACTGGTGCACTTCACAAAATAGATGGCATCATGAGGAAGGAAAATTATGTGGATATATTGAAGCAACATCTCAAGACATCAGTCAGGAAGTTAAAGCTTGGTCGCAAATGGGTCTTCTAAATGGACAATGACCCCAAGCATACTTCCAAAGTTATGGCAAAATGGCTTAAGGACAACAAAGTCAAGGTATTGGAGTGGCCATCACAAAGCCCTGACCTAAATCCTATAGAAAAATAGGTGGGCAGAACTTAAAAAGCGCATGCGAGCAAGGAGGCCTACAAACCTGACTCAGTTACACCAGCTCTGTAAGGAGGAATGGGCCAAAATTCACCCAACTTATTGTGGGAAGCTTGTGGAAGGCTACCCGAAACGTTTGACCCAAGTGAAACAATTTAAAGGCAATGCTACCAAATACTAATTGAGTGTATGTAAACTTCTGACCCACTGGGAATGTGATGAAAGAAATAAAAGCTGAAATAAATCATTCTCTCTACTATTATTCTGACATTTCACATTCTTAAAATAAAGTGGTGAGCCTAATTGACCTAAAATAGGGCATTTTTACTAGGATTAAATGTCAGGAATTG